ACGTGACCCGTTGAGGTGGGCGGTTGTGGCAAAGAAAGAGGGGGAGCGGCTGTAAGGGTGGCTGCGGCGTTGCGAGGAACGAGAGCAACTTCCCATGGCAAGCAGTTGAGCGCCTGGGTTGGATCGGGGGTCGATGCCGATGCTTGCGGCTGCTGCGCCGCAGCTCCCGCCGCTTCTTCGAAGGACAATGGGAGAAAGCAGCGATAGGTAAGGGCGGTCCCCGCGGATTCCGCCAGGACGGCACGCGTAACGGCGTGACGGAGCACAATGGACCAAGAGGGCAAAGTCTGAGAAAGAGAAGAAGACGCTGCTGGTGCCGCTGCTCCTGCTGCTGCGGGCGGTTCGGTGCCTTCTCGGGGCGGTCCAGAAGTTGCACGTGAAGCGGCGGAGAGCGACGTTGTCAAGACACTCGTCACGAGCGAGGTAGGAGGCTTGACAGTCAGAATCATTTCACGTAGAACCTTCGCAGACTCATCCTTGTCCGCCTCCGTCTTCTCTATAGGGGTGTGAGGCGGTGTGGGCAACTGAGGGGCGAGGGTGGGGAGCTCCAAGGACGCAGCAGGGGACACAATACGGTAGTACAGCGTAACAGGCGCGTGCTTGAGCGCACTCGCTCGCGTCCATGCATCCGAAAAGCCACGAAAGAAAAGCGGTACGACGTGAGAGATTGCGTTTGGGTCGCTGTTAGTCCGTTGGCGGCGCTGTGGCAGAGGCGGAACGTGCACGGCAATGTACCCAAGCGTATCTTGCAGCGTTACATGAACGGGCTGGTGCAAAAGGCTGTGCTCCGTCGCTGCTGCTGCCAGTCGGTGCTGTACAGCGTTTGCCTTTGAGCCCGTGGCACTCACCCAGATGTGCACGGGCACGCTCGTCTGCGCGTTCTCGGGTCTTTTCTTGTTTCTTCTCTTCCTTCTGTCCCACTTCTCATTCGCGACGAGGAGAAGTTGGAGGGTTGGGTGCCCTGGCTCATCGGCGCGGCAGCGCAAGTTAAGCACGGCGTCGCGGTAGGCGCCAACGGTGATGTACGTCCATTGCGTGACGACAACGTCACCGTTTGCCCCGTGAAAGCGCACTTCTTGCTCGACAGGGGAAGTAGAAGAGAGCTGTGCCGCGTCGACCGGGTCCACGTCCGCGCGTGTCGTCCACAACACCGTCGAGATCGTCGTGGCGTTGGCGCTGGCGGCCAGCGACTCCGTCACGGTGCAGGCGGCGTGCAGCGACGTCGTCGATGTCGTGCTTTGCGCGCCGTCCTTCGTGACTCCTCCTTCTTGCGCCTTCTCCTGGTTGAGTCGCAGTGGGCACAGAAGTACAGGTGCGCTCATCTGCGGCACCACCGCGGCCAGACTACGCAGCGTCGGTGCGGTCTGAAACGAAACACACTCCGCAAAGGCGGCGTCACTCGCATTAATGCCGACAGACACCACCCGGTGCGGATCCGCAGCGCTGTTGGTGTTGACGACGGCCACCACCGCCACCGCCACCAACAGCTCACCGGCTGCAACTCCCTGGAAAAGGTTGTCCACCGATGGACGCAGCTCGCTTGCTGGCGGCAGGGGTGCTTGTCTGCGCTCTCCATTCGGAGCCGTGCTCGAGCGTTCATCTATAGGTGTTGTGGAGGGAAGTGCATGCTCGCGAGCCGGTATGGCTTCTTTGCCGGTGGAGGAGAGAAGCGGGGGCTGGGGCGGGTGGTGCATCGCCTGCCACCGCACATCGTCATCGCTAATGTGAACTGAATCCTCTGGTGCAACGGCAGTTCCCGTCTCCTTCCTCGGCGGCTCGAGGGTGTCCTCCATCCTCGGTGCGAGGTCCATATGCACGGTGCTGCGTCGCGCACTGCGCGGACGTTGCCGCCGTGGCGTGTTGGACCGCGAAGAAGAGTACCCGCCAGCCGACATGTGTGGAGATGACGCGCGGGGCTGGGGCGTGAACTCGCTGCCGTTGAAGGGCGACTGCGAGCGGGCACCGCCACCGTCCGCGTCGCTCGTAGCGTCGTCGTCGTGATGGCTGTGGAGTTCCTCTTCCACGTCAATGAAGGGTTTCGCAGCGACAGCGTGGTGCTTGCGTAGGTGACCGTCTTGCGTCTCCGCGTCCGGCCCTGATGCACGTGGTGGAGCGAGTGGCTTGAAAAGGGACGAGTCAGCTGAGATGTTGGGGGTGGATGCCTCGTCGCCCAGCGCGGCGGACGGCGGCGAGTGCGGTTTTACGGTGGCGTTGGCCGCCTCGGCAGAGTCCTGCTTGTGGGCGGAGTTCATCTTGTCGTAAGACGCGTCACTGACGGAAGTCGGCAGGGCGAACGCTGCGCCTTCATTGTCGTCTTGACCCTCTTGGTATGGCGTGTCACGGCCAGCGCTTCCATCGGCGTTGGAGTCGTGTACTTCCACTTCGTTCTGCACTTCCCACTTCCTGCCCTCTATCTCCACCGTGCCATTATGCGAAGGCCCACGCGGTTCCTTCGGTGCTGCGCCGCTCGCTGCCACCTCGGTCGGCGGCGGCGCCCCCGAAAGCGTCTCACCGATGGCCCAGCGGAAATGAACACGCAGCGGCGCGTGCAACGCCCCGTCATCGTCTCCGCCAGCGCCTGCTGCCGCCGCCGCCACCAGCTCCGTGGACGGCGCTTCGTCCGGCACACCGCCGGCACTGTCCGCCACGGTGGTCAGCATCGTCGACCCGGCATCAGCGCTGGCCACGTTCACCAACACGTCCATCGCCGTCAGCGCACGACTGGGGCGGACCCCGTTGCTCTCCGCCGCGGGGCTTTGCGCGTAGACCGGCGTGGCAAACGCCAGCTCCGTCGCGCGGCGCAGTACCCGCACGCGGGACGGGCGGTAGATGGTGAGTGGCTGAGTCATGGGGAGGGCAACGGTGTACCACTGGCTGCCCGGCCCGCCGAGCCGCACGCAGAGGGACTCAGCAGCGGGCTCGCAGCGGGTGATCCACAGCGTGACGCAGCGGCCGTAGCTGGACTCACCGATTGCGTCGCCGATGCCGGAGAGGCCAGAGATGAACGAGGTGTCGTCCATATCTGAAGGGTGGACTAGTAGCCGAGTGCAAAGCAACAGTAATCTTCTGGCGAACCTAAAGGAGGTAAACTTTCTAAAAGAGACGTGACACGGGAATGTTCACGCCGCGTCAACAACAACAATTCGATGATGCGACACCACAAAAATTCCACCAGCGGAGGCACAAGAGAGGAAAGAACACCTCGTTAGCGGAACGAAAAAGAAAGGCGTGTATGTTTATAT